TTAGACGTGAAGACCGCATTTCTTCACGGAGACTTAGACGAGGAGATCTATATGCACCAGCCTAAAGGTTTTTCAGAAGGAAAAATGGATATGGTGTGCAAATTGAAGAAGAGCTTGTACGGCCTGAAACAAGCTCCAAGACAGTGGTATAGGAAGTTTGAGAGCTTCATGCACAAGGAAGGTTTCCAGAAGTGCAATGCTGATCACTGTTGTTTCTTCAAGAAATATGAGTCCAGCTATATCATATTGTTACTTTATGTCGATGACATGTTAGTAGCAGGATCAAATATGATAGACATCAAAAACTTAAAGATGCAGTTGTCAAAAGAATTTGACATGAAGGACTTAGGCCCAACAAAGAAGATTCTTGGAATGCAAATCACGAGAGATAAGCAAAAGGGAGTTTTGCAGTTATCTCAGGCAGAGTACATCAACCGTGTTTTGCAGAGATCTAACATGGACAAGGCTAAGCCAGTCAGTACACCTTTGGCCAGCCATTTTCGTTTATCCAAGGATCAGTCTCCTCAAACAAACGAAGAAGAAGAGTTCATGGCTAAGATTCCTTATGCTTCAGCCATTGGAAGTTTGATGTACGCGATGGTCTGTACGAGGCCAAACATTGGCCATGCAGTGGGAGTTGTTAGCAGGTTTATATCAAATCCAAGAAAAGCTTATTGGGAAGCAGTTGGTTTTGAGATATCTACGAGGCACAACAGAAAAATGTCTGTACTTTAGAAAAGAAGATCTAAAGTTACAGGGCTACGTAGATGCAGACTTTGGAGGTGAAGTTGATCACCGAAGAAGCACCACCGGTTATGTTTTCACTGTCGGGGCTACAGCTGTTAGTTGGATGTCGCGGATACAAAAGATTGTTGCTTTATCCACTACAGAAGCTGAGTATGTAGCAGTGACAGAAGCCAATAAAGAATTGATATGGCTTCAAGGATTGTTAGCAGAGTTGGGTTTCACTCAAAAGGAGAGTGTCTTGCACAGTGACAGTCAGAGTGCAATACATCTGGCAAAGAACTCAGTGTTTCACTCCAGAACTAAGCACATTGACATACGATATCATTTCATCAGATCTCTGCTTGAGGATAAAGTGTTGACTTTGAAGAAGATTGTAGGAAGCAAGAACCCAGCAGATATGCTAACGAATGTGGTGACCATTGACAAACTGAAGTTGTGCTCAACTTCAGTTGGCCTGCTAAAGTAACAGACCGGAGAAGACTATTGCAGTAATTGAGGTGTGAGGACATATTGAAATCAGTCCTCAAGTGGGAGATTGTTGAGTCAGAAATAGGTACAACCCACTTCCTCTGACAAGTAACAATAATAATAAAAAAAGGGGGGCAGCCTTTTGGAGAAAAATTTGCAGCAAGCATGCTGCTGTTTTTTGTGGAAAAAATCAGCTCACGTCTGTAGAAAAATGGATACACTTTTGTGGAAAAATTTTGCATTTCTCCCTCTATAAATTGAGGGGGGTTCTGATGGAGCAAAATACAACCAAATACAAGAAAGAAAAGAGAGAGCGAGAGAGATAATAGAAATTTAGCTTTTGTGTGTATTTGAGTTGTGAGTTGTGAGTGAATTTGCGAGTGTTTTGTAAAAACGAGTGTTTTCTTTTCTCCTAATAAAATATTTGCAGTAGTCCGGAGACGTAGGCATTATTGGCCGAACTCCGTTATCAATTTGGTGTGTCCAATTTTTTTTTTTATTTCACTTTTATAGATCCGACTTCATGGAAATTTCAGCGTATTTTTCCCAACAAGGTCCAATTTCTTACTCGCTTTCAGTGCATCAACATGTCTCCCAAATGAGATCTCCAACCCAAAGAACACACCACTCAACCTTCTTATCATACCCGACTTTCATATGTTGTACAATTTCAACTAGGAAGAGAAAAAAAAAAAAGAATAAATAACGGAATGGGGCATGAGAATGATAGTTATGATCAAGTACATTTATGTGTGTTGCCTATTATTTAGTTATTTTCTCTTTTGTAATGAAAACGTTCTAAACATATTTGAATAAAACATTATATAAAAAACCTATTCCTTATTTTCATTGTTATTTAATTACCCTTTTCACTATATATTAAAAATACGAGTAATTTATATTTTCTAAAATAATTATAATTGTGACATGAAAAAAAAAACACAAAGATAATTAAACGTAATTGTGTATGTAAACAACTAATATCAAGCTTTCAATTTACCAAATAATTTGGAAGAACCTACTAATTATATAATCAACTCTTGTCAAAACAATCTATACTTATATAAGAAGGTATCATATTTACTAAATTTAGTAAGTTAAAAAGTTAACGTAATTAATGCATTGCTAGTTCTATCCAGAATTTTATTTAATTATTTTATTTATTTGTCTTATATCCCATAAAATCGGTTTAAGAAAAATAATCCCATAACATCCGATAAGTCAAAAAAAAGTACGTAAAATCTTTATTAAAATAAAAAAAAGCTTTATTTATTGTCTTATTTCATAATAACATTGATTTAGTCAAAACAAATCCCATACAATCAGTGAAGTCAAAAATTGTACGTAAAGTCTACCTATACTAAAAAAAAATGCAGATTCAAAATTCCTTATCTAATTCCTTATCTAATTTCTATTTAAAGCATTTTATTTAATATTTATTTTAATGAAATATTGGATAGGATTGCTGGATCTGAGTCAATTATGAATTCGCGTTGTTTGGCATGAGAGGATTATCCGCATTCTATATTTGTCTAAAGTATATTATTTAATATTATTTAATTAATTTATTTAATTTTTAATTGTTTTATCCATGACATCAGTTTTGTCAAAAAAAATTGAACCAAAAAAAAGGCACGAGATTAATTACCTTCGACTTACAAAAAATTTATGGGTGGGCGTAAATATTTAACAATGCTATTTCAAATACCTTAAATAATACTATAACTATGTTGTTGAAATATAATCTGTTTTATGGGTGACGTAAATATGTTGTTTAAAGTATCCTAAAATAATTTTCTAAAAACTATGTTGTTTAAAGTTCCTTAAATAGGAATATATTTAAAGTATACCCATGTTGTAATATATTAAAGTCAAAACAATGTTGGAAGGCTTTTGAATTATCTAATTTTGAATTATCTAAATTAATTAATTTAATTGTTTAATCCCATTAAATTTTCAATCCATGAAGTATTTTTACTAATCTCGTGACTGTGTTGTTTTGTTATTGTAATCAATTTATACACTATTTTACTAATAAATTATTTAATATCTATGTACAAGGAGATCTTTAATAATATACTATTGATTCTTTGTCGAATATTATTTTATTGTATAATTTTCCTGCGTATTATAAAACTTTTATTGAATATTGCATCTTATAATATAATATTCCCTAATAAATATATCTCGTGTCTCGCACAAGTCCCGTACTATATATATCCCGCACATTTTTTTATTCATTTATGTAATTATAAGGCTGGATAAATAACCTTCAAATTGTGCACCCCGTGTATCGCACGGACATTGTAGTAGTATATAGAATCCTCTAACTATTGCCCATAATTTTTATTTGATTTTAATTTTTCTCAAAAAAATTGTCTCACCCAAATAAGTTATATGAGCAAGTAGAAACATACTTAGAAAAAAAGTAAGATGAGATGGAATAGAAATTATGAATGAATATGAGATGAAATTGTAAACATTAAAATTGATATAATATAATGTAATTAAGTATTGATTGGCAAAATTGGTGGTTAACATTTTGCATTATGTGAATAAACTAATAATTTTTTACAGAAAAATGTAATAATAGTTTATTTTGATTATAAACTGCATTCGTAGGATTGGGGAAGAAAAATAGATATAAACTAATATTTTTATTGGTTAAAAAAAAAATAAATTCATTTTTAAATTCAATAAAACAAATCTTAAAAATAATAATAAAAAAAGCTTGCATCCAAATCCCCAGAAATTCTATGGCACAACATGTGGCACCATATTATGGTGTCACAACATGATGTGGCACATTATGATTGGTGCCACAACTATCACACATCATGTTGTGGCACCAATCATAATGTGTCCCATCATGTTGTGGTGCCACATGTGGTGCTATAGAATCTTTGCCAAATCCCTGTCTTTGTATGTTGTTTTTTAGTTGTGTTTTTCTGTTCCCGAGTATTATCTCGTTGAGGTCGGTTCTATGCTGGTTTTTATCTGTTCTCGCATTTTTCAAATGTTAGCTGTGTGGCTGTCATTTTGCAAGTGTTTGTTCCAATTGTATAGCGAGGCTAGCAATGGCATGGGTCCAGCTTTTATCCCCACCACACAAATCCAGCAGCAACAAAAATGGTTAGTTAGTCTGGCAATTCTCACACATGCACTGCTACGTCTCCACCCCACAGCCCCACACTTATTAGGATTTGGATTTCACCGCCCCTATTTACACTTAATTACGTGCATACTTCATGTCTGCAAAGTTTTTGTCCTCTTGCCTCAATTACGCTCGGCCTTACTGCTATATCTGCTGCGATTCCTTGGAGATTATTATCGTTTTCTGTGGTGTAAGTGTCTTCCTGGTTTTTTTTTTTTGGTTAAAAGGATCGTTTGTATGGAATATTGGATCAAATAATTTGGTGGGACTATGAATGTATTTCATTTCATTTGTTCGAGATTGTGGGTTTCCTTGTTCTTTTAATTTTTCCCCTTTCTTTTCCTTTCTCTTTTACCCGAATGGGGTTTTACGTGGTGCGTATGAATTTGTTCATTTTGTGAAGTTTAATTCCCTTCTCCTATAGCATTTTCTCTGGTCGGATTACAGTTTTTAAGATAGCTGGTTCCATGTGTGGTAGTCATTTTATTTTATTTTGAAATCGGTATGTTGTGGTTGTGATTCTTGGTTTCAGGGTTTGTGGGTTATGGTTTCCAGCCTCCAGGGTACAGTTATTTAGAATCCTGATGCACAACCAGGGCATTTCAGTTTGTCTTGTTTCAGTATTTTGGTGATGGGCTGCGTTTATTCTAAGACATGCATCGGTGAACTATGTGCTCCTCGAGATGTTAAGGTTCAAGAAAGTGGACAAGTAAGAACAACTACAAGTGAGATTGCTGTGTTCTCCCCTGCTCACTCTGAGAATGGGGATGGAGAAAACAGAGACCAGGAAGTGGGTATAACTAGACTATCTAGAGTGTCGGCTCAGTTTTTACCCTCCAATGGCTCGAGGGTTACAAAAGTTCCTTCGAGTAGTTATGAATTACATTCCTCATTTTTATCTCAGAGGGGTTACTACCCTGATGCCCTTGATAAGGCCAACCAAGACAGTTTTTGCATTCATACTCCGTTTGGGACAAGTCCGGATGATCATTTTTTTGGGGTATTTGATGGTCATGGTGAATTTGGAGCTCAATGCTCACAGTTTGTGAAGCACAAGTTATGCGAGAATTTGCTTAGGAATAGTAGATTTCACATAGATGCAGTTGAAGCATGTCATGCGGCTTTCTTAACGACGAATTCACAACTGCATGCTGATGATTTGGATGATAGTATGAGTGGTACGACTGCAGTCACAGTTCTGGTTAGGGGAAGGACAATTTTTGTTGCCAATTCAGGTGATTCGAGAGCTGTTATTGGCGAAAGGAGAGGGAAGGATATTGTTGCTGTTGACCTGTCTGTAGATCATACACCTTTCCGGCCAGACGAACTTGAACGAGTGAAGCTATGTGGAGCTAGGGTTCTCACGTTGGATCAGATTGAAGGACTCAAGAATCCGAATGTGCAGTGTTGGGGAAGTGAAGAAGGTGATGATGATGGTGATCCTCCTAGACTGTGGGTGCCAAATGGTATGTATCCGGGTACAGCTTTCACAAGAAGTATCGGTGATTCTATTGCAGAGACAATTGGCGTTGTTGCAAACCCGGAAATTGTTGTTCTGGAGCTCACTCAGAATCACCCATTCTTTGTGATTGCTAGTGATGGTGTCTTTGAGTTTCTTTCCAGCCAAGCTGTGGTGGACATGGTAGTTTGTCTTTTGCCCCTCTTTTTACTTTGATTGACCTTGAATATATGTCATATCATTGTCCATTATTGACTTAAATTTACAACTAGTTAGTACATACCTTTGCTTTTGTGCGCCTCGTGTATGCATGATTGGAAACTTATGTGTTGGTTTTTGGATAAATGGAAGTTACGGGTTGGCAATCGGTTGGTATTGGACTTGCTTTGAATTACAATTGTCCATCTTAATGACATAGTATCTAAAATATCTGTATGTGCTAAGGGTAATGTGATTTTGCATGGTTACTTTTCGCTACTAACGCACGATGTGGGCAACCATATTCTCATATAGCTGGGATTAATTAAGAATATCAAATGAGAGAATTTCCCCTCTCCCAAACCTACCTACTGACATTACCATAACTTTGGATTGGTTTCCATATATAAGATGGTTTGCCCAGGGTTTAAATTCTAAACATATCTATGGAGAAGAAACTTCTCTAAATGAGAAACCTGTATAGTGAAGTAACCCTTACCCAGAGGTATGCTTTTCCGTTTCAAATGGTAAAGACTAAGACACGTCGTAACCTAATTATAATTCCAGAATTTGAAATAAATCTAGAACCTCGGTTGTTGAATTTCCTTCTGCTTTTGATATTGCAGGTTGCAAAACATAAGGACCCACATGATGCTTGTGCTGCCATTGTTGCTGAATCATATCGTCTATGGCTACAGTATGAAACTCGTACTGATGACATTACCGTGATAGTTGTGCATATAAATGGAATAAATGATGTACGGACGGACGTCATATATGAGTGACCTTGTCGTTATTCTGCTTTTTAATTTCATTTTCCCTCTTATTTAGAAGCCTTAAATTGTCACTTCACCTATAATTTTAGGCTGCATTTCATCAAGCAGTGGAGCCTGCTGCAGTTTTACGACCCCCTTTACCTCAAATGATAGAAGTATCCGGATCAGAGTCCCCGTCTCTTGTGAACTGGAGGACTGGAAATCAGCGTGCAAGACATGATATATCTCGTGCACGACTCCGTGCACTTGAAAGTTCTCTGGAGTATGGACAAGTTTGGGTGCCTTCATCTCCAGCCCACAGAAAGACCTGGGAAGAAGAAGTATACCCATCTCAACTTTCTTATTATTGCCTTTCCTAAATTATCCTCTTGTTAAAACTATGTTTTGAATCTGTCTATTTATCATTCATATGTGTCAGGCTCAAATTGAAAGGGCTTTGCGCGACCATTTTCTTTTCAGAAAGCTTACTGATTCTCAGTGTCATGTTTTGTTGGACTGCATGCTAAGGGTTGAGGTTCAAGCAGGAGACATAGTCGTAAACAGGTATTATTTGCAAGCCTATTCATCAGATCATCTATGATTAAATATATCAAATGCTTTTGGATGGATTATATGACCTAGAAACATTGAGTTCTGAAGTATTGCCTGCTCGAAATTTTGGGAAAGATGATCAGTTTTTGGATTATTGGCATCGCAAATGTCGTGCAAAATGAAATGTAATCTCAGTGTTCCATCATACCATGACTTGTATCTTCCACCAGTTTATCTGCACGTGGCAACTACTGTGTAACTCACATAATTGTACCATTTCAAGGGGCACTGCCTACTGATTTGACACTGGCCTATACTTTACAAAAAAATGTGGATTTGTTGTGTGATGCTTTGATTGTACTTACCATAAATTAAGATTGAAGCTGGAACTAAAGTGAAGTTCTATCTTTCACTTGGATATGGAGCCGAAGGGGGGAGGGCAGCATCCACCCTGAACTCCATGTGTTCCTCTTAAATTATTTAAGTTCACTGAATAAAACTTCTTAAATATATACTTTTTTTTCTTTACTTCATATTTTCTTTTAAATTATTTTGTCATCATATATAATTTGTGAAATCGTAATGTTTTTCGTATAGAGTGCTGCATTTTAGGTTATTTCCGTCCATAAGTTTCAGAATTACTTATTTATCTACTTTATATTTTAGGGAAAATAATTTCCTCAGCTAGTATTTGATTTGTCTTCATCCCTGCGGAGATTCACCTGCGTAAAATGAGCCAGCCAGTCGTATTTATTATAAAGTAATTCTACTTGTACATAAAGTGTACATACCCTCACATGGGTCCACTTGAATTTTTTAATTGAATGGACCTTACCCATGTGAATGTATATACTCCATTATGTAAAAAAAAATTATGTACATGTAGCATTGTTCTATTATGAATAATCATTGACAAATCATGTTCATTTGTTTGAGGCAATATGCCTTGCTTTATATGTACGTACACCATTTGTAAAAAATGTTCTGTACGTCTCATCAAAGACGGAGCTATATGGGGGCCAGGGGGGCCCCTGAATTTTTTTAAGAAAATAGTATATATATATAATGAAAAAAATGTATAGAAATGTATTTTTTTTTTTTACAATATATTAATAATTAAAATTTGTTAAAAATCAATATATCTAAATAAAATACTATAAAATTGTATAAAAATGTAAAAATATTTACAATGCATTAATAACTAAAACTTATTTCCTATGCTATTTTCATTTAAATTAATAATACTATTTATTTATTGAAATATACTAAACATTCTTATATTTTAAATTTCTAGATAAGCTTTTGAAAACATTAATAATTAAACTTTGTTAATAATACTCTTTCTTCTGTAATCACATTTTTAAATTTATTTTTTTTTCTTAAAAAAAGTTTATTTGATAAGTTCTCATCAACAAAAATGTTCTGCAATGTGGTGCAAAAGTCCAATTTTGAATCAATATTTCGACCCGAAAAAATTACTTTTTCATAATTTGAACTTAAATTATTAATACATTTATTTTTTTCAAACGATAGACTTTCCATAGAAAAACAAATAATTACACACCAGAGAGCAGCTAGACAGCCGAATAAGTAGCTATTTAGCCGAATCTAGTTGGGAGGACTAACCTCAAAGGCAACAAGCTGAAATCTCATTTTTTTGTTTATTTTTCTAAAGTTTGAGGTGATACGGATTCTAAGTTTGTAAAAGTTTGAGGTACACGTATTTATATTTATATTTATAGTAAATACATTTTTAAATGAAATGAGTGCTTCGACTTAAACTGCAAGATCGTTATTTAATATTTAAAATTGGGCCCCCCTGAGTAAATTTTCTAGATCCGTCACTGCGTCTCATATGCATGTTTTTGCATAGTTTTATCAGTTTTTCATTTAGTTTAGCTTCTGTGTGTTGCATAGTTTTGTCAGTTTTCCGTTTAGGTTGGGTTCTTTGCTTAAGAGGTTTCTGCCATATTTGAGTCTCGCAGCTAGGATGAGTGTATGATATACTTGTTAATAAAATTTTCAGGGTGGAGAATGTGATTGTTTCTATGTTGTTGGCAATGGGGAGTTTGAGGTCTTGGCAACCCAGGTGATTTTGCAGATTTTACATTCAATCATGTGTATGATATGCAGCAAGAAATAAATTTTCCACTAGGCTTCCCCATTTCAATCGAACTAGTATTTTCTTGAAACTATAAATCACTTAGCTTGCTGTTTTCTACTACAAGAACTCCCTATGTTAAAGAAAGTTGAAACAAAATGAAGCTTTGTTCTTGTTGTATTATTTCAAATTTCAATAACCTTGTCAGTTTCTTATTTTGAGCTTAAATGCCAGGAAGAAAATAATGGTGCAGCACCCCGTGTATTGCAGCGTTACACTTCTGAAAACTTATCTTCCTTTGGGGAGCTGGCACTGATGTGAGATACTAATCAAGTGTTTCCATAATAAGTAAAACTCAATGAACTGCTATGTATGTGCACATAACTTGACCTAAGATTGGGCTTGTTAATGTCGTATTAGCTTTTCTAAAATAAAATGTTCATTTAGGTTCGGTGGCTTTCTATCTTGGTACTATATATTGTCCAATTTTTATTTCATAATTTGAGTATGATTTAATGGCTGGATCCAGTTTTTCATTTTACCGAGTATTCTTTGCATGATTGAAGTATCATGCTTGCTTCAAATGATAAACCGTTTCCGTCACTTTTTTTTATGCAATTTGAAACTGGTTCATTTGGTGGAATATGATACTCGATTTCTTTAAAAAGTGAAGGAAAAGGTTGATAGCAAATTGATGAATTCTGTTTCAAGCTAGTTGAAGAAAATTTCCATCCTTTCTTCTGCTGCTGTATTTATTGAGCTATATTGGGCGCGTTCTTTTACTGGCTACTTGCCGTCCATCATTGACGTATACCTATTATTAATTTCACCACAATTATTTTCCATTCACTCTGTTAAATTGCAGGTACAACAAGCCACTCCAAGCTTCTGTTAGAGCTGTGACCAATGGAACTCTTTGGGCACTCAAAAGAGAAGATTTTAGAGGAATTCTCATGTCTGAGTTTTCTAATTTATCCTCATTGAAGTTACTTCGATCAGTAGACCTTCTCTCAAGGTTGACAATCTTACAGCTAAGTCATATTGCAGATTCACTTTCAGAAGTATCTTTCTATGATGGACAGAAAATAATTGATGAGGTACATGGGATCCTATAGACTATATCTGAATGTATTAGTGCTTCATGTCTGTTAATAGTTCTTTAATATCTCGCAGAATGAGAACCTACTGGGATTGTACATCATACAAAAGGGAGACGTAAAAATTACTTGTGACATTGATTCAGTAAAAAGTACTAATGCTTCCAGCCTCTTGCCTGAACCTAAGAAGCAAGATGGTGATGTGTCTAGCAAGAGCTTTACTGTAGAGAAGACTGAAGGCAGCTATTTTGGAGAATGGGCTCTTCTCGGTGTACATATATCTTCGTTGAGTGTCATTGCTGTGGGCAATGTGGTATGCTCTGTCTTAACCAAGGAGAAGTTTGACTCGGTTGTTGGCCCTCTGGCGAAACTTTCACAAGATGATCATAAGTATGTCACTGAATTCTTACTGTCAAGACCTTGACAGGTTACATATGTTTTCTTGTTCATGTATGTAATAATATCTTGGTGTCCCTATTATTCTTCTATGTGTATGTTTGTGTTTATGATACTGCCATCCTTGTGTTGCCATCCTTGTGTTGCCTGTCAAACTTGTCTAGGTCAAAGCATCAGTCAACTAGTTTATCCACAGAATCTTTAAAAAAATTGGATACTTCAACTACTCGGAAGATTCAGCTCGCTGATTTGGTAAGAGAAATAGTATTCTTTTGACTGGGTGTTTTGAAAATCTTTTCACGTAAAAAAAAAAATAAATAAATAAAAATTAAAAAAAAAAAACTAACAAAATTGCCATATTTTTTTCAAGGAGTGGCACGCTTCTGTGTACTCCACGGACTGCAGTGAGATTGGCCTTGTACGTTTTACAGACTCAGGTTGGTTTTCTTCAATAGTTCATGCAGGTTACAGCATGTCTACTTTTGCAATGATTTTTAAGTGATTGGCAATATTGATAAAGAATTTCCATGCTGCTCTCACTATGCTAGTTACCTCACGTTTCACTGTTTTTTTCCAACTTAACTGGAGTGAAGGGACTATCGGGTACTTCATGCTCTTATGATATTGTGGTAGGGTTTTTTTCTAAAATTTTCACTTCAAAGTACTGCTCTCCTTTCCTTTTCCCTTCTCTGCAGAAAAATTGCTCAGCCTGAAAAGATTTTCAAAGGACAAGGTTAAAAGATTTGGAAAAGAAGCATTAGTTCTGAAGGAAAAGTATCTGATGAAGTATATAAGTCACTCTGTTTTTGTTCCTCGAATTATATGCTCTGCTGCTGATCGTTCTTATGCTGGCTTACTTCTGGACACACGTATTGTTTGCTCTATGACCTCAGTTATACACAGTGCATTGGATGAAACATCTGCACAGTTCTGTGCTGCATGCACTGTTATTGCCCTCGGATATTTGCACGAGGTTTGTTTAATTGGTGTATCAAAAAAATTCCTTTCTGTATATATTTCTTTTCCTTAAGTTTTAGTCTTTGTGGTATATGTTTCAGAGAGGCATTCTCTATCGAGGTGTGTCCCCTGATGTTCTATTGTTTGATCAGACTGGATACATACAGGTTTAGATGATGGTTTCATTTTAGATTGTTAGTATTTGTTTTTATATACATATGACTGCTACTCGGGCAGCTTGAATGTTAATGAAATTGATACTTGGTTTCTTCATTCACTCTAGCTAGTGGACTTCAGATTCGGGAAGAAACTATCTGCCGACTGTTCTGAGAGAACATACACAATATGTGGAATGTCAGATTCATTGGCTCCTGAAATAATCCAAGGGAAAGGCCACAGTTTCCCTGCTGACTGGTATGCCAGTTATATTCCCTTCGTAACTACATGTCTGTGAACGTAGTTATCTTCTTTTTAAGTGGTACCAAATATATATTCCATCCTTTTCTATTGGCTGAAAGTAGAAAGATCAACCTGAGTAGACCATTATATGTTGAGGCCTCTTATCTGTGTCACCAGTATATGCTACATCTGCAGTGTTTGTTCTCTTCTATGATTTAGGATGTGATTGAATATGAATTTGATTGGATTTTTACTGGTTTTTTTGCTAACCATAGTTAATTTTGAAAAATGTGGTATGGTTAGTTGTTAGTTGGAGTTTAAGTTTTTATTAAAATAATATTTAAAATAAAATAATTAAAGTTGATTTGGTATAAAAGTAGGAGAGAAATGATGTGAAGTGATGGTTAGTTAAAATTATGTGAGTAGATGAATAGTGAAATAAAATTGATGTGATGTGTAATGATGATTGATTGGTATTAGTTAATTATATGGATAAAATTGAGGATAATGGAGTTGGGTTAAAGTTGAGTTAAATTTGAGTTTTGATTGGTTTTTTACTGGATGAATTTATATCCAAGAACACCCTTACACGCTGTGTATACTTATATTTGGTTGACATTGCTCCCTATATCAGACTATGTATGTAGCACTCTTTTACATTTTCTTTTCTGAAAGGTGATTTTATATGGAAATGGTTTTAAAATATAGCGATGGTCTGTTTTCTCACTGTTGTTATCTTAGTATTGTATCTTTATATGTGCTTTAGACACTCATGACTACGGTTGTAATATAACTGAATTTTTCCAGTTCGAGTAGTGATTTGAATTCGTGAAATTCAAATTCGAATATAGGTAGAATTTTGTAGTTGAAATTTATGTGACTCCGGATCCGGATGTACATATTCGATTTGAAATTCGAATATTCTATTTGTTAATAAAAATTATATAAAAATTTATAAGTAATATATTATTAGAATATAACATTATATTCATACAATATGTGTAACTATATTAAATATAAATTTGTTAACTACATAAATATATTTATATAGTGTAAATATTTTTCTATACCTATTATTTTTATTCATCATATTATTTTATTTATTTATTTTTGTATTCAATCAGTTTATATTTAATATTTGTAAATTAATATATCAATATATTCAAGTGTTATAAATAATTTTTAAAATGGATTACGATCCGAGTCGAAGATATTCGATAATCTTAAACGAATAGATAGAATATGATGCCACTCTATTATTTATTTATTTATATTGCCTTTGCTTCTTGATTGTCTGGTGACAATATTTTTTCACATGGTTATATATTCCTATATTTTGCGGCACTCTAGATTTTGCTTCAGCTAGTCTCTTTGTGCAGGTGGTCCTTGGGAGCTTTGGTGTTCTTCATGTTACAAGGTGAAATGCCTTTTGGATCTTGGAGAGAAAGTGAAGTCAGTTATGCAAGGATAGTGAAAGGCCAGTTAACCCTTCCACACCATTTTAGTAGTGAAGCTGTCGACCTTATAACGAAGGTCACTAGCAGCCATGTTACTTCTTTTCTTTTTTTCAACCAAAATAATAAAAACCTTACCCATGAAATGAATTTATTCCAGTTACTTGAAGTAGAAGAAACTGCACGACTGGGAAGCCAAGGCATAGACTCGATCAAATCCCATCCTTGGTTTGGTGGTATTGATTGGCCAAAATTAGAAGAGGGGATATTTCCTGTTCCTCGGGGTATCATCTCGCGAATAAATGCTTTTCTGGAGAGCCATCTGGACGAAGTCTTAATTTCAACAGATTCCCCAGCCCAAGCCCAAGAACCTGAAGACCTTAATACTCCAGAATGGCTTCAAGACTGGTAGAACAATGTACAACTCATATTTTTTTGTGATTCTGTCGAACGTTTTTCGACTCTCGAAAAGTGGCTTCAAGTGGCTGGAAATTTCAGGATGAGAAAGGCCCCATTTCGAAGTTACGAACTCAGATCTTCATATGGTGGCCATGAAAGAAAATCGAGCTGCACTTTTGAAGACACAAGACTGGTTAGTCATCAGACTCATTTTTTTAGAGAAAGAAAAAAAAAAAAGGTAGTTAAGTTGATAAATGGAGAAGAAGACTTCTGTTTATTTTCTGCTATCTTAGTGAAACGTCTGGGTATAATCAATTAAATATAGAATTCATATTTTTTCTGTACAAGTGTACCCTATATTGCTGTGTAATTAAAATTGCTCTTGACGATGCGGTATAGTAATTCCCTTTATATAAAATAAAATGCACTGAGCCTAATTGACGGTTTAGCATGTTTCGTAATCTTATGTGGCAAATATTATGTTTAGTAATACTAGGGATAAAAATTACTACTTTATTATGCCAAATTGTTTAAGTTTGGATAGTCATAAATATAAGCCATAAATATACATATTTAATATATCTAAATTATCCATATAGATTTACTTATTACTGCTTTCTACAATGTGCATATTATCCCACTATCCGAATGTTTTGTTTTATTCAATACTATTCTCTTATGTGTTTTAAATAAAAATATTTAAATAAAACCAATAAATGTATATAAGTTAGTTTTTGGAATTTAAAATGCTTTTCTAGTTTAAAATGGTTTTTTTTTTTGGTTTATAAATTAGTTTCTTGTTCCTAAGGGTATCATGTGGCGTATAAATGCTTTTTTTTGGTTTATAATTATACTACTACAACGCCCGCCCGTGTATTACACGGGTGATTGCTAATTTTTTTTTAATCTAAAATTAATGAGAAAAAGTTGAAAATTTAAATACCTTTTATAAATATATATATATATATTATTATATATTTGGTATGACACTTTATATTTGTGCAACTTGTGTTATATTGCAATAATTTTTTATAACTTACATCATATAACTATATTAAACATAAATATATCAATTGAGAAATAATTTTATTTTTCAAATGAATTATAGCAAATATTATTATATTTTATTATTATAATGATAAATATAATTTATTTATTTCATATATACAATATGGATGTCAAATCGAAGATCATCAAAAGATGATTAATTTGATATATTATATATGTAAAACCGATAAGAAATATAAAAGTTATCAACTTTTGGACCATCTCCAATGGTCTTTTCATTGTTTTATTTTCTTGCCACGTGGCACAAAAAATCCTATGTGGCATGGAAAATGTCTAGAAGGTTTTCTAGATGTAGAAGCCCTTCTAGACTAGGGATGTAAATGGGTCGGGTTGGGTACGGGTTTTGGTAAACCCGAACCACCCGCATATAATTTACCCTACCAAACCCGACCCGTTACCCGGCTAGTGATCTTCGGGTTCGGGTTGGGTTTTACCCGACGGGTTAGTGGGTTTTCGTCGGGTAAACGGGTAACCCGAGTCTTAAATTTAAGTTTTTCCCGACCATCTCATTTCATATGAAAAAATAAAATAAAATAATTTCACAATTAATTATAATGTAAGAAATAATTTATTAACTAAGTTTGACAATTTTTTGGAATAAATAATAAGATATGATTATTTATTTTTTTATAATCGATTTAATATTATAACATTTAAACTTAAATATTTATTTTTTTTATTATACAATTAACAAAAAATGATAATAAAATTATAAAAAATAAAATAAATTTAACCCTTAATCAAAATTATAATAGATAATCTAATTTTTAAAAATAACACATGACTACTTTTATATTTATTATAAGTTATAAATATATATATGTATATGTATGTATATATGATTCAATGGTTGCGGGTAAACGGGTAGGGTGATCGGGTCGGGTAATGGGTTTGCCTACTATACCCGCACCCGACCCGACCCGGATTTCGGGTAGCATAATTCTACCCTAACCCGACCCGAAACCCAATCATCTCGGGTTTACCCGACCCAAAAATGCGGGTAACCCGCGGGTAACCTGACCCTATGGGTTTTATTGACATCCCTATTCTAGACAACTTCTCCTATATATTATAATATTTATTCAATTTATTTTTTTTTTCAACCATATACAACAATTAACACTAACCATTGGAGATACAATTTTTTAATTTTCTTTCTCCATCTTATACAATACAATTTCCATTGGAGATGCTCTTAAAATACATTTACAATTCAGTAGCTAATTGTAGGAAACAAATCAAACGTCAGGGATATATTAGTCACTTAGTGTCTCACTATGCAAAATTACAAAGAATTAAAGGATTTTATTAGTACAAGTGATATTAAAATACCCAAATTAGCTAAATAATATTTATGGAAAATCCAAACCTAGATTATTAATTATTAATATATCAATATTATTTGTCAAAATCTAATTACGAAGCATGATTCTTTGCCAAGTAGGATTCCGAAGCATCAGAAGCAGCCACGTAAGCTTAACGCATTCGGGAATTATATATAGGGGGATAAAGATAAATATAATTTATGTATTTCATATATACAATATGGATGTGAAATCGAAGATCATTAAAAGATGATTAATTTGATATATTATATATGTAAAACCGATAAGAAATATAAAAGTTATCAACTTTTAAAATACATTTACAATTCAGTAGCTAATTGTAGGAAACAAATCAAAAGTCGAGGATATATTAGTCACTTAGTGTCTCACTATGCAAAATTACAAAGAATTAAAGGGTTTTATCAGTACAAGTGAAATTAAAATACCTAAGTTAGCTAAATAATATTTATGGAATGTCCGAACCTATATTATTAATTATTAATATATCAGTATTATTTGTCCAAACCTAATTACGAAGCATGTTTTTCGCCAAGTAGGATTCCGAAGCACCAAAAGCAGCCACGTAGGCTAAGCGCATTCGGGAATTATATATAGGGGGATTATAAAAACGTAATTTTTTTATATTTTGTATCTGGCTGAAAAGAATAATATTTTTAAATAAAAATAATATTTTTATATAATTCGGTTGGTTTGAATATTTTTAAAAAGTAAAGCCACCGAAATTTTAAAAGTAAATACTGATAAACGAACCAAATTATAAATTTCAAATAAAAAATTTTAGTTCGATTGGTGTCGGTGGCTATATTGTGCAGTCCGACAGTCATTAATGTATAATCTATCTACTATATAATTAGACAACACATTTACTAAAAGTAGAAAGTTTTCAGTGGGTCCCATTATACTATAAATGGAAAGTTGTCTCCATATTTGCCACGTGTAAAAAAAAATGATTTATTACTAAATTGCAAAAATAGGGTGAAGACTGTTTCAAACGTGGAGTATATTTGTAGCTTCTTCTTCTTTTTTTCTTTTTTTCTTTTGGTTATTTCAAACTATTTTTATTTATTTTGATAAGTATAAAATGAATAGCAATGAGTTAGTTTTAATGTACATTAAATATTAGGTTAAATATAAACCCTTCCTAAGAAATATGATGAGACTTATATAAAATATTAGGTTAAATTTAAATTTTTCCTAAAAAAGGTGATACGACATAAAAATTCTATTGCATATATACAATTAACAAATAAATTTATTATTAATATAAAGAAATAATTTTTTAAATGGGGATGTGTTGATTTTTTTTTCTTCAATCTGTTTTCCCTTTTTTTTCAATTTATATGTATATTTTTTTCATAAAATTGATCTAAAATTTTAATTATAGTCTGTGTTAAATTCATTTTTCTTCTTTTAAAAACTGTAAAATTTTAAATATTTAAGAATTGTGTCTCCAACAAAAATAATCTAAATTAATTATTTAAAAACAATTAGAGATACTCTATTAGTAATTATTACAACGAAAATATTTATTTTATATTAAAAAATAATAATTTATCAACTTTCAATAGGGTTATTCCATAAGGTTGAATAAAAATTATGGTCTTCCATTTGAATAATGCATATCCTGGAGCAAAAAAAAAACGAAACTAAAATGAGGTATGAGATATTATAATGTACTTTATTAATTCACTAATTTATATATTGAATCCATTTTTTTAGTAGGGCATGCAGTATGAATTAATTAATATGCATTCAACTAATTAAATATTTTTACAATTTAATTCATTATATAGTGTATCTGGGCTTGCAGTATGAATTAAATAATTTATATCAATTAAACTCAATTTCTTGTCATGATATGTTTTATAATGGACGATAAGATATGTAGCACTTTCAGTATATTTTTGCAAAAATAAAATAGCTCAATCAGGATATTAGTATTTATCCCTTAATCTATTTGATTATATATATAAGTAAGATAATTTGTTTTAGTGAGAAAAAAAAGTCAATTAATTTAGTTGCATGAATTTATAATTTGTATTTAATTAAATTACTAGAATTTTTGCAGTGGGGTAATGACCTAGTAATTTAGTGCGCAACCTGCACCACTACCACTTCCACTATACGGTGATGCTATCAATCCATGTTATTATAAAATATAAACAGACTATATATGATACTTTAATTTCACAACAATTCTGCAACAGATATCATGTATTTGAATTTATTTGGTAATCAATCAATGTCTTCCCTACTACTGAAAGAGATGTCAACATGAATTAAACAAAGTGGTCTTTTGTCTTATTTTACATGACTTTGAGGTAACTTTTTTTTTTTTTGAAAAAAAAAATGCAAATAAAAATAAAAAATTGGTTGAATTATTCATAAGTGCCACGATTTTTTTAATGTCTACAAACTTATGTTTTTTTAGTACAAAATTCACGATTGAAGTGGGAAATGATCTGAAATTGAAGAAAATAAAGAGGATAGTAAAAATAATTATAGTTGAATGTATAATTTTATATGTGGTTTGTGCTTTTTTAAAGAAACAATTTTTTTTATTTCTTAGCGAACAAATTCTTTCTTTCTTCACTGTATT